AACGCCCCAAGTGGCACAGATGGGGTGGCAGGGGTCGAGTGAAATATGTGAACCAGGAAGAGGGCAGACTGATTTTACGGGGCGAGAGAGAGACTGTGGTAAGACGTATGGAAGGAGGATTGCGTAACAATATGGCAGCTCTGATCAACATTCTCAGCACAAGGATGAAGGGGGGTGGGAAGGCCAGCGTGGAGTGTGGAGGGTTCTCATGAAACCCGCTCAAAATGGCACACCGTACCACATCTAATTAAGCAAGTTAAAAGTTGTGACAGTGAAGGCATGATAGGAGGATATAGGAAATGCGAATAGGCCAGGGCAGAGGTGGAGATAACATAACTGTTAAGCAGACGTTTGGTCAAAGTATCGTATTTACGTGTCTCTTTGACGAGTTGCGTTATGGTGCTACGAATGGCAAAACTCACTGACGATGCCAAATACGATGCCGGCGAAACGTTTGGGAATGTACCACGTCCACAGTTCGACTTTGGAAATGATTATGCATACACTGGATTCCGGACAAGGTGCGTTCATCTAAGTCTTCTACTAATATGACCAAGTTGCGAAAACAAGGTCAAACAACTTCTATACAACGAAAGGAGACTGCGGCCACACAATGGACCACACCACCTTGGTCTTCTTACTTTTTATATGAGATATTATTCATTTATATAAATAATTAATGATTGATTAAGATTACATGTTTTTATTTATTTTTAAAATCACAAATTAAAACAAAATACACTCATATATAAGTCACTTCTTAAAATGTCTTGTTATCTCTATATAGTGATTAAAAGAATGCATTTTAGGCCAACTTTATCTATTGATGATTATCATGAAGGACTTTCTGGACAAGATTATCTAGTTATACGTTTTCAAATCATGGCCACATCTATTAAGAAAATAAAATAAAATTCTATTGCTTATTGATACATTTAGCCAGTTAGAATAAACATTATGGAAGCATGAATTTCTTCTTGCACATCTTTGTATATTGAGGGTAGTCATTTGGAATAGCCTTTAACTGCTTGCGCTTTGCCAAATTAAATTTTTTGTTTTAACTTTATCCTTTGACCTCTGACTTTATATATACTGTTGTAAACAATATGCATTTCCTTATACAACTACTACATAATTTAAAATTTGAAAACCTTAGTAAGCATTTAGAATAAGTGGAGTTTTATGATAGAATAATTCCAGAATTTATGAATTGAAACCTTAACTACCTGCACAATGAGAAGAAAAGTTTAAATTTGTTAGAAATCTTTGGGAAATACATCTAAGAATTTTGGGTAACTGGCTCGTTTATAACGATTTAAATTTCTTCTGTAGTTTTGGATCATCGTGAAGAACACCAATTTACTAATTAAGTTAGGTCAAATTTGTGTTTGATGAAGAGATTCGAAGGCCGATCCCATCAGATGGCGGCAATGAATTCCTCTTGCTCCTATTGTCCAGAAAATCTTCCAAAATTATCTATTTCAACTTTTTAGTTTATTTTTGAAACAAGTTTTGGTAAATAAAATGTTTACTTTTAATTCGTACTATTTTTCACAGATGTTACTCCGTGTTGGATGAAATTAGACGTTTGCTGAAAATATTCTACCAACAAACAGATTTTCTTAAAGTTTTAAGCTTTTAAATTCGTTACATCTCCTTCAGCTTCATAAATCTGCTTCTTTTATCTAAATTAAATTCTTCATTATAATTCAAGGCATTAATGGTCATTACAGGCACAGTAAATCTAGTTCTTCTAATGTAGTTTAAGATTACTACTTGAGTTTTTCCCACAATTATATGATTAGGTCTCAGAATGCTATTGAGTTTAACTTAGTTTTGCCTTCCAAACGGTTCTCTCATCAAAAGTGAACTGCAAATTCGACTTTGTTTATCATAACTAGATAAGGTCAAAACCAAAATCCAAACTAGATGGGAGAACCGCTCGGTTTTCAAAAATAAGTGAAAGTCAATGGAATCATAAGGCTTACTCATATCAGCTTGAAAAAAATTTGTCTTTAAATCGCTTTAAGCGAAGTAGACGGACTAAGTTTTTATCAAGAATTACTGACAGTATTGTGGCCTACTCACATATAAAATTAATGATATACTTGAATAGTATTTTCTAGAGAGCTGAAAAACGAATGATTAACTAACTTCATGAACAATACACTTTAAGTGGAAGCAGTTGATTATAGTGATAAGCAATGGCAAATATACCACCATATTTGTTATCACTAGTATCGATAACAAATTAGCCAGTCATTTCGAGGGTTAGGTGGATAAATACATTAATTCCTTAGATAACTAATGTGACAGAACAAAGATATATAATCTCTGAGAAGTTTATTTAACAAATGGGAACAGAGTTTTTTAGAAGGCGTAAATAGGACAAATAGCAAATGTAGTTTCGTTGTTATTATGGATATCAATCACCACGCACGGCTTTTATTATATTCCGCCGGGCTAAAACTTTTTAAAAAATTAGCTGTTTTAATCTCTATAGTTGATTTTTGTAGGTTACTTAATAAATTAATTTAATTTATAGGAAAGTACATCATTAGAGATTCATGAAATGTAATGAATAAATTTATAAAAGTAATAAAATCTTTCATAATTTCTTGTATATTAAATTTCTAGCACTACATAAAAGTAGTTGCTCTATAAGTATTCATAAACTAGCTTCTTAGAATACTTGCGAATTGTAAAATCAATTTATGGCCAAATTCTTCTTATGTGATCATAATTAATTTCCAAAGTCCATATAATACTATTATCTAAGCTTCAATGGGTTCTTAGATTTGTTAAGATAATAAGTTAGTATGAGATATAAAGGTTAATAAAAGGTTTTTCTTCTAAATAATACGAAATTGTAGCGCAAAAACCTATCATTCTTATTTTCATGTCCTATAACTACTGGAAAGTCCAAACGTCTATTGTTAATAATATTGATATCTCTCCTATATGGTTGGGGATAAAGCTGACCCTTGGCGATAAAATGGGAAGGGATACTATATTTATTGAAAGAAAGAACTTACAACGTTTTTGCATGCTTAATGAAATCGTTGTTTTGAATGTTAACATTATGCTAAAAGGTTTAATCCAATTACCAACTATCACAAAGAATAAATACTTAGTATATCTTCGTAAAAATTCTAACAATAGTATTTATGCACTTGGGGTCCTCATCCGCTCTTGAATAAAGTCAATATTTCTTTCCTAGAACCTTAAAGGCTATTTAGACAAAAAACGTTAAAAATCTCAGCGCTCCTCATTGAATATACTTAACAATTTTTTGGCTGATTCCTAATGCTATTAGACATGAAAGAAATGCCATTTTGATGAATACGATACGGTATGCATGCAGGTCTCGCCGGCGACTTAATAAGAAAGATATTCTTGGTGTAATTCATGAAATATGTGGGGTCTTAAAATACTCTTGATCTATTAAATATAATCTTTCTGCACACTGCAAAAATTAACCACACTTAGAAATACGATTCTTAAACAGGTCAAATCGTACGCTATACAAAGTGGTGGAGAGAAACTGTGCAGTAAATTTATCTGCTTGAGTTATTGCATGGTTTTGGATGTACTGAACTAGAAAGCTATGAGTACGTTATTTTATTAAGGGCATATACCGTAGTTGACATGAGGCTAGTGTGGTCATTATTATATTATGTTAAACGTACTTTCCATCTTTATAATCGGTATCCATTAATGATATTTATTTTCTCTCATGAATAAAAACTTGAACACTAATTGGAGTTTGTAGCGACCGTTTAGACTTCCAAATCTCTATCACATTATTCAAAGTGGCAAGCCAAATGAAGTTATTTTTTCAGTTTGCACTTTGTACGTTGTCGTGGCTCTACAAAATTAGACGCATGCTTTTGAGGCATTGGACTGGAAATTTCGGTCTGATTAATTCGCAGGAAAGCATGCTCATCCAGATTAACTGTGTACTGAATTTTAAGCTTCATTTATAAATGAGGCTCAAATAAAAATGGGTTACCAACAGTAAATTATTTTTTTTAGATCTTGCAATCGCTTGACTTGCTCTCGAGATTGCCACTCAACAGAGAAGGTTAGGGTCGGACCTAAGTAGCTCTCCGTTTAAATCACTAGGTTAATTCTTGCCTCAGCCCGCCATGCTTTTTGTCTGTGTATTTCGTGCTAATATACATTTTATAAATAATAATTACATATGCTTTCTTATTTTGGAGTAATTCAATTTACTTTAAACAAAATAAACAAAATCGTGGTATTGAAAAAAATTATACTGAAATTAGCCTTGATTTTAAATACACATTAGAGTATAAGGGATATAGTTTACATCTTGCTAGAATAAAAAGTTATGAAGTATTTAATCTTTATTGGTCGTGGAGTTAATTTATTATTTCTGTTAAAGAGTATTAACTTGGCCTAGTCGGTATATGCCAATAAAAGTTTTGTCTATATACATTTATTGGGCTGCCTTACGTACAAAGTTTGTCACAAGTAACTCGAAATTGATCTCTATCTATATGCCAAGAATGATGTCAAATGGTAAAGGTATTATATACCTCTATACTGCATCCTCGATCCTGATGAATCCAAGGAATTTGTGTCGCTTTGATAGCATCAGCAGGGATCTCAAGGTCATTTGGCCACCCTTAATAGACATTCTTTTGTTGCTTTGGCAATTCAAGATAAGTATTTTAATTTAAAATTTTGCAGCTATGAAGGCCTGATGCAGCAAATGCTTGCCAGTGTAATTTATAACAAATTAACTAGTTATCAATCATATAGGTAGTCATATCTTCCGTTTAGATGTAAAATAATTATGGCATTTTAAAAGTAAAAAGGATCATCATTAGAATAAAATAACTAATAGACATATACATCTTTAAATAAAACATTACAAATGCCTTTTCATCAAGGATTTTTTTCTTGTCTCTGATACATTGCAGATACCTGAATACGTGGTCTACCCTGAATGTACTTCCTCCGGAGATACTAACATGCCTTTTGGATATAAAGGCCGGCAATATCAATCCAGCTCTCTAGGAAATATCCGAGATGTGTCTGCTGGAGATACGAATGAACAGTTCTTCTCTGTTAGAGATTCTATCTATAAGCTTTGGCCAGGAGTGTCAGAATCGATGGGATCTACTGAACATTTTCCATCAAACTCTCTAGGCCGGAATAACCTACACGTAGCTAAATCTGACAATTTCAGAGCGCATTCAAATACTAGAATCAGCTTATTTGGTAGAATAATAACCGATTTGGTCCTGAAACCTGCTTCAGGTGGCTCGGCCAGAAAGCGCCTATACCACATAGCTCCATCTATACGTGAGAAATCTTTAGTTGGAGATGGTCGAGGGATCTTTACTTATGGCCTTTCGAGCAATAGCGCCGTTGCTGGTGCAAGCGGAATTGGCTTAGCTTGCATGTCACCGTTGATGGAACGCTCTATAGAAGATGAAGAAGGGGGCAACCATCTAACTAGGTTAGCTTCTTCTTCCACCCAACCCATCAGGCTCTCGCAGACAATTAATCCACTTCAACCAGCTTCGCTTGTCTATAAACCTTATTATTTAGGAGAAAGTAGGGTGCAGCCACTAAAACGTAGCAAGCCCTTTTCTTCTTCCATTGATACTTGTATTCCTTTTCACACTTGAATTTGTAAACGGTAAATAATAATAACCTAGCTAACGCCTCTATTTGACAGGGACACCATAAGGCCTGCTTATCACCATTTTTAAGGTTGCAGTCAAAATTTACTACATTCTGCGCTTAAATTGGTTATGATGACCAAGTCTTTTCCGGTTACGAAAAGGAAGCATATTTGTTTTTCCATCATGCTCTTTATCATCCAGACTTTCTTACACTATTGAATTATCTCATTCTCCTTATTATAGCTAGCTTGCTGGCACCCACTGGTATAGGTATCTATGAGCGAAGTAATGAGTACTCAAAAGGAGATCGTCTCTTGAAAGTTTGCCCCAACAATTTTCACTTTAATTAGTGCCCAGACTTTCATGCGTGCTCCAAACAAATATTTATTATCAAAATTCACTTAATTCTTTAATTAGTTTGGCCATCGTTTGCATTATATTGTATGAGTTAGTCATAATTTAGATTAACCTATATATAAGTGAATCATGACTAACTTTGATTTATCTTGTTTATTTGTCTAAATTGGATTTACATTGTTTTTTCGAGAAGCAAAGGAGTGCGAACGGCAGGTATTCCTGTTAACTATGCTTGGTTCACAAAAATCCAAATATAGGACTTAAAAAAATTTCTCTTTTTACTGAATATCATAATAAAATTCGCGAAGCACTACGTTTCTCGAGAAAACCGAGAGATAAATATTTACTTATTATATCTGGTAGTGAGAAAATCTGGGTTCATTGTGAGTTACAAGACTTTTGAATCACAAGAGCCTGGCAACAAAATAAAATTGTCACTTCTATTCCTCACGGACAATGTAAGAATATGATAAATTTAAGATATTAAGGCTACATATTTGCTTAAATGTCCAATCATTTTACCTTGACAAGTATCAATGAAAGAAATAATTTAGCGAACTAAAAAAAAAATCTTAAAAAGGTTTTGAGTGAATTATTTCTTGATAACTAATACAAAGAATGATACTATTTATACGAATACTAATCATAATGCCTCTAAAAAAAGAATAACTAAGGTAAAAAACAAAAATAGGAATACTATAAAGACTTTTTTAATTCGGTTAAATTCATTTAATAAATTCAAGTTAAAAATTTTCGGTTTACTTGCCACTAAAATCTAATTGGCCTTATTATTTCATGCCTTGATTCATTTATGAAATGATGAAATAAATTTTCACTATCTAGCACTGTTTGTAATTAAGTGAAGTTTAGCTAGCATGCCAAATGCGAATTTTTTATGTAGAATTCAATGATATCTATTAGTTTAATCGAAGGTATAAAGAACAAGATGGTGTGGCCTCTTGTGTGGTCACGATCTCCTTTCGTTGTAGAGTAGCTGTTTGACCTCTCTTTTTCGCATAAAATGCGGCAACGGTGACATATGAAGGAAATAGAAGGAAAAATTGGCAGAAGAATCAAAGAGCATCTAAAATTCTGTAGAAGCATGAATATTTCGGCATATGCTATGACATGAAATTCATGATTTTACTTTGTTCAAAATTAACCATGTTCATTTGGCTTAGTGTTCGATAAATTTTTAGCTTAATCGGGAGATCACTTTATAAATGTGGCTGAAGTCGACTACACTATCAGAGTACGGCATTTGTAGATGTAAATAAAAGTTAACTTAATTTAACCATTAAGCAGTGGCCTTAATTTATCATGGTAAGATTCACTTAAATTCCAATAAGAGGCCATTCATAATTTGCATACCTCGAGCATGCTCTTATATTTTTGCTTTCAATTTGATGGTGCTTTACAGTTGTTAGTAAAAGTGCAGTGCTAAATGCTAAGTACTAAGTGGTAAGCTGTAAGTTATTTGTATCAGGCATAGTTTTAAAAAACTCTGTTATGTGACGAAATTACGAAATAACTGCCGAAATAGGTGCAAGGCTGCTAAGTAAAAGCTAAGAATTT